GTAATTGGATGAAAACACTGGCTGCAAAGGGTTGATGCCCAGTTACCTTGAAAATTTTCCCTTTGTGGGGTAACTGGGCACCCACCCCAAGGTAACTGGGCAGGTGGCAGTGGTGGCACCTGCTCAGTTACCCATTGCAAGGTTGCTGTGCTTCGGTGTTTGTTTACTTCTGAAAATGTCAAAACTAATTGACTATTGCGGACTTTTAAGTGCCAAAGCCAATAATCAGGGTTCCCAGCACACTAAACTTCTAACTTAAGTCAATTATAGCATAACTTACGCATTACTTAATTACATTTTTGCCGCTAACTGTTACGACATCACTTTTAACGACTTAAACATGGTTATATAAATTCAAATGAAATTCTCTGAAACCCTCATGAGAAGGACATTCCGGCCAATGAGAATTACAAATAATGCCCCCCTTAAAAATTAAGGGAACTTTTTGGCGCCTGACTCTATCCCAGACCAGCCTTGCGGCTTAATTTTTTTTCATTTTTTAAAGATGTATCATGCTTAATCTCACTAAAAGTGGCCAAACAGTGTCCTGGTATACAATACTACTTTATAAGTAGTAATACAGAAAGTTCTAAGCATTTATCTACAAGGAAACAATTTCTTTTACCGTTATTCAATTCTCAGATTTGAGGCTTGTTTTGCCGCTAACTGTTACGACATCATTCTTAACCACTTAAACATGTTTATACACATTCAAATGACATTTTCTTAAACCCTCATGAGCAGAACATCACCTTCTGGCCAATGAGAATTAAAAATAATGCCCCCCTCAAAAATTAAGGGGGGGGGGGCTAGTCCAGTTACCCCACGACGTTGGGTAACTGAGTTAAAAAAACGGGAAATTTTTTAAAATTTGTGGGAAAAAATTGAAAGATGGAATTCGACTTTTGACTCTTCCTACATTTAGACAAGGTGTTGTACTTACTAAAAAAAATTTAAAAGTAGCCTCCACTGTCAATATAATGATGGGGAAAAAATCATGAAGTTGAAATTTTGACATTTTTCTCCGAACTCTTGCCCAGTTACCCGACCTCACTTTAACATCAACTTAAATCTGGAAATTTATGCGGGTTTTCCAAGTTGACTCAATGTAATTTACGGAAATGATCATGATTTAGCCCATAGGCCACTGGATACGTCTTAAACGGTTGCCTAAACGTAGGTCTGCAGGCGTATTTTAGCGAAAATTTGTGTTTTTCTATCACTCCGAGGCGATGTTGACACCGAGCGCATCGTCTAACTAAAACGCGCTTTTGATATGTTATCAAGGATGCTTTAGGACACATTTTAACCATACTTTGGTTTTAGTTAGATGATGCGCTCATAGTTAAAAAAAAACTTTTTCCAAAGTCGACGTTTAAGGGACATCCGCAAAAATCATAGGGAACACGTCTCTCCAACTGTATGTAGGCTATGTATATTATCGAGGGCAGTTATCAAGCCTTGGTAAACCCTTACTAGGAGATTTACTTTAATTGTTGCCAAAAAAAATCTAATGACGTAATGCCCTAAGATTTTTGCGGATGTCCCTTAAACGTCGATTTTTGGAAAAAGTTTTTTTTTAACTATGAGCGCATCATCTAACTAAAACCAAAGTATGGTTAAAATGGGTCATAAAGCCTCCTCAATAACATATCAAAAGTTCGTTTTAGTTAGACGGTGCGCTCGGTGTCAAAAAAGCCTCGGAGTGATGGAAAAACACGAATTTTCGCTAAATTACGCCTACAGACCTATGTTTAGGCAACCGTTTAGCACGTATCGAGTGGCCTATGGGCTAAATCATGATTATTTTCATAAACTACATCGAGTCAACTTGGAAAACCCGCATAAATTTCCAGATTCTAGGAGAGGGCCAAAAAAGGCCCTTATCGATACCCCTGCTTTGCATATCTGGTAACGCTTATTTTCAGCATTCTGCCGGGCCGATTTTTATGATTTTTGCGGCTATCGACAGGCAATCGTCTTTAGATCAGTCCGCTCTATTCAGATTTTGAAAATATGACCCAGGTTTTTTTATATTACGTGGTTAAGTTGCGAATTCTCCCATTAAACTATGTAAATTCTTATTTCTCGTCAACAGTTCGTTTGAGCGTTCCAGTGGGCCAATTTCCATAATTTTTGCGGTTATCAACAGGCGATAGTCTCTAGATAAGCCCGCTCTAATCAGATTTTGGAAATATGACCCAGATTTTTTTTTATAATAGATTATACCAGAGAGCTTGGAAAGAGTGGGAAATGTTGAATCTTGGTCTATTAGTAGGGTAAGGTAAGTGAATCTAAGGTATGCTCTTTACTCCAGACTCTCCCAAAGTTTCGTTTCGTTTCAGTCTTGGCCTGAAGTTTGAAATGACCGGTTTTCTTCTTTGATTCCTATAGGTCCAATCGCTCCCGGCCAGAGGAAGATTGGACAAATGAGAGTCGGGTATGAAAATCTTTTAATTTTTTTTGGTCGTTCTCTTGTCGAAGCGCGCATAAGAGAGCGCGAAGCGCCCCCTGAGGGTTGGGCCGCGTAACGGCCAGGGTTTTGAATAATTTTTCTGTAAGGAGATTTTTTCTTTCNGGGGGGGGATTAACCGTGAGTTAAGAAAAGGCGAAGTCATTCCATGTTAGCCCTGCGCACACAGTAGCAGTAGCTCTCTGACGTCCACTAGGACTCATCCAACACCACGCCAAAGCGGGAGACTAACACAATCATACGGCGGTTTGGCTCTGGACGGCATTTAGAAGACGTAGGAAAAGAAAAAAATTCGAATGTGTTGCAATAAAGGAAAGCATCTCATGCAGTTGACCATCCTATCTTTTCAAAGTTCATTGTTCTTGTCTTTTTAAAATTTATGGTTCTCACTACGAAAAGTAAAAATGTATGAAGCGCTCTACCGCACGGTACAGTCTGTGATGAGATGGCATTCATCAACTACGTAACGCACTTTCCCGGCAATGTAGACCCCCCCCCCCTCCCGGTGACCGGACGCAAACCCTCCTTTAAAAATTACGTAACGCTTGACAGGCCCCTCTCCTTTAAGATTCCAAAACATGTGGGAAACTGTTGAATAAGCAGCTGTATACAATTTGAAATATTTTGAATTTAAGTGTGACAAATAAATTCGAAGATTAGGGGATGTTAAGTGCGTGGACTTTCTTAAGATTGCGAACTATTTTGACTTAACTCAAACGCAGTGACAATGAGAGCATTAACATTTGGATGACTCCTCCAGTAAATTTTAAAACCCTGCCTTCAAATAAAGTCCTTTTCGGCTTTTTGCAAAGTATTTGGACTTACCTCCAATGAAGATACAGTAAGGGCATTACTCGACGTTTGACTTGTTTCTATGCAATAAATAACGACTTGTCCGTCGATAAAATCTCGTCAAAGCGTTAGAACACATTCTTACACTCTCCTTTTTTTTTTTTTTTTTTTTTTTTTTTTTTTTTTTTTTTTTTTTTGCAGGTTTAATGGCTTACATCTCTTATCAGAGATCTACAGCCAACTATAGACAGAGATTTAATGTCCTTAGACAACAGGGCGATTGGGACATCCATGCTCCGGCTTTCAAATTTTCAGGGATTAAGGCCGAGTAGAATCTGTTTCTGCAGATCCACACGTCAGTTCCGTGAAAATTTGTCGCCACCACCGGGATTCGAACCCGGGACCTATTGGTCTAGAGTCAGACGCGCTGACCGCTAGGCCAACCTGGCCGGCTTACATTCTCTTAAAACAGTAGATTACAATGAACTAAATTTCTTTGCGATATGATGATGTGTCACGGAAGCGATCAGCAAGTTGTGAATGCAGCAGTGGTGATACGGAACTTATTGTAACATAGAATTATATATTTACATTAGTTTGAGTACCATTCTGCTCAAAATTTCGCCGCGAATCAAGAAATGTTAACTGTAAAAACGTTTTTTGAATAATAAAAAAATTTGCATTTTTGCAGTCTTTAAATTTTGAGGGTCAAATTAGGCGTGAGACAATGAGGCAGCGACGGTATCAAGGGTTGCTGATAAATAAAAGGGTGGAAAACCCCATGTCATCGTGCCACTTCGACAGGTTTGTGGCAGCCACGCAGGACGCAGGCTGCTGCCTTTTTTCCCGGACCGATATAGAGTTTGACCTTGGGCCTTCGGTGCAGCCGGTATAATGTCTCATGGATCACATTTTTAGAATGAGGAGGGGTGTATTTGCATTTCTCAGCGGTTTACGCAGATGTGGCTGACAAATAGGAAAGTTTGTGAGCATCTGAAAGGTAGAAGCTTTCATAGTCGACCCAAAAATCGTTGAAATCGGCCTAGTAGATCACTCAAATTAAGCGTTATAACCGGAGCTCACGTCAACCCTCGGGAACTTAAGGTGGAAGGGGGGTGAATTTGGCTTTCAAAACGCCTCAAGCAAAAGAGGCTGTAAAATTTGGAAGTTTGATAGTTTAGCGGACATTGGGACGTCACGCGCTTTCACCGGCATTGAGCATCGTCGAAATTGGTCCGGTAAACTTCAGAAATAAGCGATACAAAGAAGCTCCCAACGATTTTATTTATATAAATAGAAGACTACTGATTATAGGACCCTTAGGAACTGTAAATTATCAGATTTTGTACCACAATCAGTAGCTCTTCGAGCCCAAAATATCTAGAAAAAAGACATGGTAACTTAAGATATGCCGGAATCACACGCTGAATTTGGCAGCTGAATATAGAAGTTAACAGTCTTCGCTCAACAGCTGAAATTTCGCAAATTTGAGTTACTTTCATCCAGATGTGTATCAAATCTATTCGAATAGCTCAGACGAATCCGACATTATCCGATGGTCGCTGAGAATCGTTGCTGAATTTTGCGCGACACACGCAAAATTCAGGCATCGCCCGATGACTTCCACATTCAAGCCACATTTAGCGTGTGATTGCGGCGATACGTTCAGAGGTTAAAATGTATTTTTTTTTTTTTACTCTCCAAATGGTGCCAGAAATGAAAAAATGTCTCAGAATTATCTAAATATTCCTTTAATTTCACCACAAATTAATTTCAGTAGCGAAAATCAGGCATTTCAGTATTATTAATTTTAGTTTTTCACAAAGTCTCCAAAACAAATTAAAATTTGACTCCAAGGAAGTTAGTGACTCCATCATACCAATCTTTAAGACCAGTGGGCAAACTAAGTTTTCTTCGCCTTGAAATAATTGACCACAATGTTAAATCAATTAATGTTGAGTTATTCTCAGAAAATGATTCACTTTTATTGATGAAAGAACTTAAATTATTTAATAATTTTTCATATTCATTTGTGTGTTTTGAGTGTGACAGTCGATGACAACTATCTAAAACAGATTCCAGAACAGTTTCTTGCAGCATATCTGCTCTAATTCCCAAGGCTTCATTGACAACACGATTAAAAAATTTCAATAAGTTTACTTCACCGCGGATGGGTACTTGTTTCACTGGTGATATGATTAATTCACAATCAATGTCCACTGAAAACAGAAAAATATCAATGAATTGGTCTCAATCATAAACCACGCAAACGAATTAGACTCAGAAAAACAGTTGAATTTTCGATGAAATGAATTATTTTTTGTTGAAGTTAATTAATTTTTTATGGAGTAATAAGAATTTACTTAAGAAAGTGCAGTCTTGGGCACGCAGAGAATGACCACATCTGATGTTTACCGAGACTTGCTCATACAATGCTGTGGTCTTACCTAACAGCACTATTTTCTGTGTTTGACTATCACAACCGTCCATCCTGGGGTATCTTTTTTCAACCTTACCTGGAAATAACTTCTACTTAGTTTAGACCATAGTTCTGTTCGGGGCTTGGGTTTAAAGAAAATCTCGAATATACGAAACGAAAGCTCTGTTTCTGATTCTTAGTGAGGGAGGTCAAGAGGGGGAAAATGAATGGTATGCAGGGTGTCTTACGCCACCTGTGCCAGGCTCTATTCAGGTTTTTTTTTAGGTTATGCGCAGATGAGGACCGCAGGAATTAGTGGGAAATTGACCCCAAGAAATATCAATTTCGTATTCCTGCAGTGCCCCGGGATTCCTAGAGGGCAAATAAAGAAAGGGGGTGGGCGGGGGGGGGGGGGGGGTAACTCAACTTAAAGAGTCGGGGTTTCCTTCACAATTTTGAAATTATTTTGCCAAAATCAAGAAGAATAGAAAATGTTTAACTAAACTGACACCAATGAGTGTAGCATCGGTCCATTCCTCGATCCATCACTGATGGGGGGGGGGGGGGAGCCTATCTCTCAAGAAAATCCAAGGTTGCTGAATTGATGTAGAGGTCTGAGAACATTTTTTCTCAGGTAGTCGACCTCAAAAAATACGAATCTGACCGTTAAGAAGCCCTCCAGAGCCCTCCTGATGAGGTAATAGTCAAAGTCATGGACTTAATAAGTTGAGGATCAGTGGTTCTAGCCCCCCTCTACACCATCAGCCGTGGGGAGGGGGGTATGTTCAGGTTCATTGACTTTGGACTCCATCAGTTCAATTACCGATTAAAATATCCTCTCCCGTGGCCTCTACATCAATTTAGCTACTCACCATGTTATTGAAGGGGGAGATCCTGTTCCCAAACTTCAGAGGTCTGTAAGTCTGACAAATATGGACAGATTTTGAATTTTTCGGTGTCAATGAGGTAAAAATTCTCAGTGATTATTTATCTTGATCAAATAATGTCAAAATCATGATTGAAACCCCCATTTAGGATGGCAAGAAAAATTTAATTTTATAATTCCCTGACTTCTTCCAATGAAATTCCCTGACTTCTTAACGATAACTTAAGGTGATTCGATGGACACCATATTTTGTGTCAGAACGGCATGCGATATATCGCATCAATTGGTTCCATTTTTTCAGCTACTCGTCAATTTTCTCCAATTTTGAGATCGCAATTCTGTTGTCAGGAGACTAAAGCACTCGCTTACCAATTTTAACAAAGAAATTCAACGTAATAAAGGCGTGGTTTTTTTAGAGAGAAAATATCGCATTCGAGTGCAGTTTCGATATCGGTATCGAATGCGATGTTTTCTCTCTGAAAAAACCACGCCTTTATTACGTTGAATTTCTTTGTTAAAATTGGTAAAGGATTGCTGTAGTCTCCTGACAACAGAATTGCGATCGCAAAATTGGAGTAAAATGACAAGTAGCTGAAAAAATGGAACCAATTGATGCGATATATCGCATGCCGTTCTGACACAAATGCGACAATGACGCGATGCGAGGACAACAATGCGATCAGCTAGCCGTCATGGACCCGATTTTGACGTGGTACTCAGCTCCACGAAAAATGCCCTGGCCGTTGACGAAATTCCCTGACTTTTCCCTGATATTTCCCGATTGAGTTGCATTCCCTGGCCTTTCCCGGTCGCTAGCCACACTACCTATTTTTGAAGTTAAGATCCCTCTAGGACCAGGGGAGCTCTTAGGGGAAATGCATGTATGCACATGCAAAAGCTCTAATAAGGAATTTTGAAATGATGGAATGGGGTAGTCGCACGACACTTTTTTAATTCAATTTCAAAAAGTTTGAGGTCTACTGAGTATTCAGGTACTTTCTAAAAAAAATTCCGGTCATCGGAACTTTGAGAAAAAGCTCCCCGAAGTCAAAAGCGATAAGAAACGAGTCTTTCCCCGCGCTTCGGAACTAGGACACCGTGACGTCACATGGTATACACCCGGATTCGCCCTGTGTCAAGTAGGGGTGAATACCGTCTTTTTAAAAATTCGCGAAAAATTTATTTTTGGCCTAGTCTTGATACCTTTGAGTCACTGAAAATTTCAAAAATCACAACAACACCACAACATAACCTCAGTAACTTGTTGTTATCACTTTCCTAATCTCAACCAGTGCTGTGTTAGAGCTTATGATCAAGATAAAGCAGCGTTGTGGACACCTTTTGGCGTGATTTTAGACAGTATTTTCCGAAGAAAACAGGATATTTGCGCTCGAGGACGCGACTTCCAAACTTTGACCGCTATCTGCTGAAAATATTTGAGCCATGAATCAGAATCACGAGTTCTCAATGTTGATTCTGCCCAATCCTAACCCCCCCCCCCTCTCCTTATTTTTTATCGGCAGTGATCGCTCTTCAGAACTTTGCTTCTCGGAAATAATTGAAAATAATGACTTTATTACCTAAGTTTTTTTCAAGTTCACATGTTTTGAAGTTCAGCATAGTCGCAAAACACGACATGAGCGACTGTGCAGTGTGCATTGGTAGTCAACGTATTATAGTATGTTTTTTCTGAAGTGGATGATATTAAACATCACAAATCTCATACATGCCGTGATGCATCCGCACTCATGTAGATATACTAGGTCTAAGGGGGAAAAAGTAGGGAGCGGAATGTACGAATCAAAATCTTGAATTCTTTACGTTGATTCTGCCCCACCCTGATACCCCCCGCCCTTATTCTAATTAACAGCGATCGTTTAGAATTCCCCCCTTAATTTTTTCTTTTTTTTCAAAATCTCTTAGTAAAACTACATGAGTACAGATTTGAACCGCATTTTTCGCCAGAATTGGCCTTCAGACCCATGTTTAGGCCAGTGGTAGACACCGGAAATGACCAAACCATGATGCACTCCGTAAAATGTAGACCTTCAATGACCAAAAAATCGCGGAGTTCAGGAATTTTAGGGTGGGCCCAAAATAGGCCCTTAACGATACCCCTCCTTTGAGGTGATTAAATTTGACTGTTTAAATTTCGTTTGTTTTTAACTTTTGCTGAAATTTGGGGACTTGCAAACGTAATTTTGAACTGATTTTGACCTTACTGAGATAATGTGGAGGCAAAGTTAGGGAAAATCGGCTCATTTCGCGAGAAAATAGAATGACCTTCGAATTGACATATGTGGGGGTCCGAACCCCCCCCCCCTTAAAATTAGGGCAGATTTTAAGGGGATTTCAGTGCATTCTAGTTTCATCTGCATTTTCCATCAACTTACAAGGGGAACTTACGAACCTGTCGCCTTTGATTGGGCTGAATTTTTTTTTACAGACTCTATGGACCAAGTCTAGGGGTCAATTTGAGCCGTTTTCCCGAATGCGCAATAGGGAGGGCGTAAAAAATCCCCAAAAGTTGCGTTTTCAGCGTGTGATTTGGTCGTGCGGCGCGTGGCAACACTGAAGCAGCCTCTTGTACCACTTTATCGGCCAACTGGGGTCAGTGGAGACTGGAGCCCTACTGCACAGTTTTTTTTTTTTTTTTTTCTGTTGTTTTATGGCTTTGTGTCTAAGCACCTGCAGCCAACTTTAGACTAGTGTGATAGTGTAGAGAGAAGGTTACAGGTGACTAGTTACCGACTTTAGAGGTGTGAAAAAGAAAAAACTAAAAACATGGAAAAAGGTGAAGGGTTGATAAAAAAGAGGAGTTGAGTAGGGAGAGGGTGAGAACCCTTCACCATTTTCACGCTCTGATACCCGGCAGAGCGACTTCCTATGACCAGAGACTGGGTAATGGAAAACAAACAAAGTGAACATACGGTAGGGATAGAATGTGTGAGAGAGAATGATTTGTTTGGACAAAAGGTAGATTGAATAAAACAGAGGGTAAGACGGTTGGTGGGAGTGAAAAAAAAGTATAGGGAAATTATTAGTGTACTGCACAGTTGCTGGCCCCATGATAGGGAGGTCGCGGGTTCGGTCCCCGAATGAATTGACTACTTTTTATTTTCCGCATGATAACGTAACATTTTATTTTTAATTCTTCATCCGCATTTATAAATTAAGCAGTTCCGATCACTATCCCCCCCCCCCCTTATTTTACGTACATTTTCCCCCAATATTTATTCACATTGACCGCCAATAACCGTATGAAACTTCATTGACATAAATTAATGAATTAAAAAGCAAAAGAAAACCTTATTTGTTACTACATTATCTCCCAATGTTTTCCTGGAAAAATATGTAATGTGTAAATAAATCGAAGAGCGACCCCAAACCCATGTGCATGCAAGGGCCGCCAAGAAACACATTATTTTGGCCCTTTGCTTTTTAATTCATTAATTTATGTCAATGAAGTTTCATACGGTTATTGGCAGTCAATGTTAATGAATATCGAGGGAAAATGTACGTAAAATAAGGGGGGGGGGGATAGTGATCGGAACTGCTTGATTTATAAATGCGGATGAAGAATTAAAAATAAAATGTAACGTTATCATGCGGAAAATAAAAAGTAGACGATTCACTCGGGGATCGAACCCGGTACCCCCCTATCGTGGGGCCAGCACCTGTGCAGTAGGGCTCTGGTCTCCACCGACATTCATGGGCCGATAAAGTGGTACAAGAGGCTGCGTCAGTGTTGCCACGCGCCGCACGACCAAATCACACGCCGAAAACGCAACTTTTGGGAATTTTTTACGCCCTCCCTATTGCGCATTCGGGAAAACGGCTCAAATTGACCTCTAGACTTGGTCCATAGAGCCTGTAAAAAAAAATTCAGCCCAATCGGAGGCGGCAGGTTCGTA